CATGGGAGGGGTATCATTATTCCCAATTCGTACATAAGGAAGTTTAAGAAATATTTTAAGTTTAGAAACATAACTTTATTATTAAAGTTATTAAACATTATTATTAAGATATTATTATTTAAAACTAATATTTTGGGGCTGGGATTGTAATTGTAGCTCAGTGGCAGAGTGCTTGCCTAGCACATGTGAGGCACTGGGTTCGATTCTTAGCACCACATATAAATAAATAAATGTCCATCAACAACAAAAAAATTAAAAAAAAAAAACTTATATTTTGACTAATTCCAAGACTGGAGTCTTTCCCTGGGGGCAGGGGTGGCAGGGAAAGAGAAGCCCCTTAAGTGCAGCAGTGTTTTCTCAGAGCAGGAAGAAAATATTTTAGATTACTCTGTCCCATCACATCTCCGTCTTCCTCAGAAACCAGCCTGGGACTTGTATGCTGAGGGCGAGGAGGCCGATGTTGAGAAACTAGGATGTTACATAAGGTCTACTTTTTTTTTTTTTTTTTAAGAAAGCACTACGTGCTGTCACAGATTTTTTTAATGGATTTTATGGATTTTGCATTTAGGCAACTGAAAAAAAAATACAGACCACATTTACCAACAAAACAAAACAAAAAACATTAGCAGGGCATGGTGGTGCATGCCTGAAATCCCAGCAACTCAGGAGGCTGAGGCAGGAGGATCACAGTTCAAAGCCAGCCTCAGCAACTTAGTGAGACCCCAAGCAACTTGGTGAGACCCTGTCTCTAAATAAAATAGAAAAAGAATACTACTAAGCCATACCCCAACTCTTTTAATAAAGTGCCTCTGGGTTCAATCCCTGGTACCAAAAAATAAAATAAAATAAAATAAAATAAAACATTATTGGGTTAAAATATATCACAGTGATGGCCACATTGTGGGCAGCACCTGTGTGGAAGGACACAATACCATTTTAACATGGGAGTTCTGAAACCACCAGAAAAGGACAGCCACAGGGACACATATACACACCCAGCACCAAACCAACCCTCACTTCATATGGTCAGATACCTCATCCTCTCAGGACTGTGTGTACACAGCACACAAGGCTGCTTCCATAAACTGCTTTTGCCATAAACGACTGCCCAATAAAATAAAAATTAATGATTAACTTTTGCTCCCTGAAAGCCACTGAAGAAGAAAACAGGTATTTCCTGAATAGCCTTTGCATAGAGGGAACTGACTTTTCCCAGGCTCTATAAAAACCTTTACAATTATTTGCCACCAGGACTTAGTCTTGGAGCTAACATAAATATGTGACACCTGAAGAAGTCAGATCTTGGGTTGAAATGCTTACTAATCATAGGTGTATTGGGGGTCAAAATTTTCCTTAAAAATGCAAGCTCCTAACCAGCGTTTGCTTTTGAAATGCCTGGAGTCTGAACAGTGATCCCACCCCCTCCCACCATTTCTACATATCTGGAAGTGGAATATTGAAGAATCAATGACTACAAACTAGGTTCTTTGCTAAGCACTAGAGATACGCAGCCATTAGGGAAGAAAGGCAAATAAATTAAGACCTAAAAGAAAAATAGGAATTAATCAGACCAGACAAGAACTACTAGAGCTAGAATAATTTGAGTTCAAATCCCAGAGAGAAGGGAAACCCAGAAAGGTGACCTTATTTTCCCTAGAGGTCAACTGATTCAAATAGCAGTAGATATGCAAGAGGACTTTCAATAGACTCACAGCCTAAGGTGGGGAAAAGGAGTTCAGGCCTGAAAGGAGAAGAAACCATGGTAAAACCCCCCAGACAAAGTGGCTGGCACTTTGAAAACTCTTCCCAGGCTGAACTAAAAATAGACCGGTCCTCAAGGGACTAAAGCTCAACTTCAGATCTCAATTCCTGACTGCACTGAACTAAGATGAAATAGAAGTATCCAGAAGCAAAGGTAAACATGCTCTAGAGAAGGATCAAACTATCTAGATCTCAAATAACTTCTATAACTTTTTACATACAATGTCTGGTATTCAATCAAAAATAACTAAACATGTGAGAAAACAAGATGTAACCAAAAACCAAAAACAACAACTGACATTCCTTATCAGAGGAAGACATTAAACAATGATAACTAAACAATGATAACTAAGGGGCTGGGGTTGTGGCTAAGCGATAGGGCGCTTGCCTAACATGTGGGAGGCCCTGGGATGGATCCTCAGCACCACATAAAAATAAATAAAATRAAGGTATTGTGTCCAACTACAATCAAATTTTTTTAAAAAAATGATAACTAAAAAAAAAAAGTGAAATAATAGTACACCTTGAACACAACAGATGAAATTTTTGAAAAGACAATACCAATGAAGCCAGAATTAAAAATAGGTAGTCARCATAGATGGATGAATGGARCCAAGGTGAGAAAAACAGACCAAAYCGGTTTAGGTCCAAAAGGTTAARACTCTGCTGAGGGAGATTGAAATGTGAATGTCCCCTGGTGGATACTGCCCTTCCCAAAGAACTGTTAATATAGCAACCCCTGAGCAGACAGGGAACTGCTAATTAATTCACCCTGCACCCTGCTTCCTGCTGGGATCACTCCCCCCACACACACCCCCACACCCTACCCCTTCAGCCCACCAGTTTACCACTTCTTCCTTCCCTACCTGCATCTCCCAGTCACTTGTACAGGATGAAGGGAAATGAACAAGATAAGGGGCAAGAATGTAAAAGAACAAAGAAAACTTTAGATGTATAAAGGGATGGGACTTCCTCATCCCAGGGGTTCCACCTTTTGGGTCCCCTTCTTCCTTAGGGGAGAAGTCTGTTCTACTACCCTTTAAATAAAGCTTCTCCCTTTCTACTCTCCACTTTCCTCGGGGGCTTGTCTGATGTTACATTTCAGCATTCAGGGGAGCAGGACTCTAAGCTAACGGATAACTGGAAGTTCACCAAGTGTTGAAAAGAACAGTTTTGTTCCTTTTCTTTGGTTAAAATGGAGGTAAATATAGCAAACTGTTAACACATCTTCAATCTAAGTGGTAAGTACATAGGTATCTATTATACTATTTTCTGTGCTCTTCTGGATTTTTGTGACATTTCATAATTAAATGTTTAAAAAAGAAAAAGGTGTGGCTAAAGGGAGATGAGCAAGGGCCAGATTATTTTAGGCTTCAGAAGTCATATTCAGAAATCTTCATTCTGCAGACAGTAAGAAACCCCTTATGATTTTAAACAGGGAGGTGACAGCATTTGACTTGCTCCATGAAGATCACTCTAGTTGCAAGACAGCAAACGGGGTGAGGGTAGGAAGCCCAGCTGCCAGGAAACCTGGTACAATAAGCCAGGTGAAAGATGATGACAGCTCGTGCACTGGAAATGAAGGAAAGCTGTAAAGATCCGAAGGATGGAGTGAGTTTTCTTCAGTCCTTACAACTGCTGCCCGGTCAAATCAAGGCCACTGAGACAATCACAAATCTAAAGTATRAGCGATTTCATTAGAACAAGGGCAACTTCCAGGACACAGCCTGGGACTGGTAAAATAAAAATTAAAAAAAAAAAAAAATCTGGATTTTTCTGCAAATCCTTAGAAGAAGCCCCAGCAGTTATAAGACTGAAAGCTAATAAGCACTCAGCTCAACACCAGATGGCCAGATAGATACATTCACAACTTGCCAGGATTTCTGAAGCCTTGTGCACCCTTCCAAACATGCAGATGCTTTTTATCTGAGAGGGAAAAAAGCCTATTTCTGATTCTGATAGCAAATGCCAAGTCACATTTTGCCAGTAGAGAATGGCATCCACAAACTCCCTGAGAATTTTGCAATCTTATTCTCATTTTGAAGAGACAGGCTGTCTTTCAGTGCTACTTCCACAGGTCCCCCAAGAAAGTAAAAGAAAAGGAGGGAGAACAACAATTTCTGAAGAACTCAGCTGCTGCCTTCATACCCAAAAAAGTAGATCTGTATCTCTAGATTATGCACATTTTTTTTTTCTGTGAGGACAAATTAAGCATATCCAACAGAAACTTATCTGCACTTTCTGAAAAATGACCTGAGTCACAGAGTCTGACAAGTTCTTCAATAACACTGAGCTTTTTGACCCTCCAGTGGGGAGAGGCTGGAAGAATTCATTTTCCTTATCATTGTGTTTTGTGCTTGTCCAAAAGTATTCACTAAGCACACCCAGTTCTCAGCGTGGACAGCTTACTGTTGTCCTTTGGGCTGATTTATGAATGCCTAGTTTTCTAGATATGGAATTTTACATAAAATTTTCCCCCAATCTGTTCACACAACAAAAAAATATTCAAAGATGTTCTTTTTAAAGGAAGAGCTTTCCAAACATATGCCCATTTAGCGTTTTAATTTTTATGTATCTTGTACGAGAGAGTGGTTTCAGAGGTAGGAAAATATACTAGCTTGCATTCAACAATCCCCATACCAGAATAGAAAAAAGGGACAAATTTGTGAATAATGTCATTCAAAGTCTGATATATGAAGAGGTTCAAGAAATAAATAATCACTGAAGGACCCAACTTTCTGGCTCAACATTTATTCAACATTCTCATTTTGTCGAAATAATTTGCTGAATCAAAAACTTGAACCCATCAAAATTCAGCCAAGTAGCTACAAGAAAAATACCACCTAACAGATCTTAGGAGTTAATACTAAAACATTAATGAATTTTGCACAGTTATTTATATATCATTCTTTGATCAAATTTATGAGATTGAGTATRATTTCTCAAGTATTAATGACCATTACCATCCAGCAGCTAACTGAAGATCATAGGGGCTGGGGATGTAGCTCAGTGGTACATATGCCCAGCACGAATGAGGTCCTAGGTTCATCCTTGACACCAAAAAGGGAAAAAAAAGCTCACAGACACTTTATATGACACTTGAAGGCTACAAGCAAGGTATGCTTAGTGTCCCTTTAGAGAAATTCAAGATTGATGTCGTGAGAACAGAAATCCTTGCTCTCGTCTGCCAAGAGGACAGAGCTACCTTCCAGGATACGAGCTCAGCGGAAGATACTCACTGGGTTGAGCACTTCTTCAGCAGAGTGGTGGACGGTCCACCAGTCCGAAGTCCACTCCCACGCATTCCCCACTATGTTGTATAAGCCATAACCATTGGGAGGAAAGGCGTCCACCTAAAAGCAGAGAAGGGAAATGCTGTCAAAGCACTGCCCTCGTTCAAAAGAACCTCTCTGGGGCAGAAATGTGCTAAGAGCTATAATTTCAGAGTAGAAATACTAATTTTCATTCCCAACAGTCAAAATACAATTTGACCAACATGAAAACAAAGAAAAAGGCATTTTTTATTTTACTTTGAGTCCTCAAAGGGATTGTAGGAATCTAAGAGGAGTTTACATTAAATAGCATGGAAGGCTGTGCAATTATTTCTGATAGACCGACTAGAGCTGATCATACGTCAAATCTCCAATGGTGTGTGTTTGTGTGTGCTGTGCACACACGTGTTCACGGATGACAGTGGGACCTTCAAGATCATTAAGAGGAATAGCACACTGGACTCACTGTGAGTCTTGTCCCCTGAGCTCAGCTCCCCGGCCACAGTGTCTTTCAGCACTGACCGACGCCAGGTCCACTCTGTCTTCTCCATCAGCCCCCTCCGACCTGCCTGAGCCATGACCATTAAAAACTGAGAGGATTTGTTTTTATGGAAAATGTGAACTCCTTATTGAGTGTACCTGAAATAGTGGGTTTGCAGTCTCTGGCATATGGAAGTCTGAAGCAAATTACATATTCAGGTAGGAATTATACCACATTTGAAAGGCAGGTCAGACAGTGACGCATAAAATTGTTACAGTCATAGCCTGAAAGCATCCAAAAAAAGGAGGGCAAGAAAAAAATCTTTAACTAAACAACAGTAAATGCAGAACAGATTCGCTAGTTTCATAACTTAAAATTTCTCCCAATCTTTTTTTAAAATTTTTATTGGTGCATTATAATTACACGCAATAGTAGCATTCATTATACCATATTTTTGTATGCACTTAATTTGATAGATCTCATTACCCAGTACCTTCTCCTTCCCTCCCCTCCAATATTTTAAAAGAAATTGTGAGCAGAAAGGAAAATTTCATTTTTTCAATGAAAAAAACAATCAGGTTATCCTTGGAGCCTTTTATCTTTTGGTAAATGTGTGCTTTTTCCATGCTAACGAAGTAGGACTGAAAGAATGAATAAAATAACATTCATTTCTATGTGGCTTCAGATGGTTTCACATGTACACATGAATATGGAAGCATCTGCTGCTTGGGCAATTCAGAGCATTTCAATCAAAGTTAGGAAGCTACTCTGAAAAGAAGCTCATCTGATGAGTTGGAAAGTCGAACACTGTTGACGCTCTGCCTCCACAATCACCATTCATTCTGGAAACAGCAGTACTTGGGCACTGCTTCATTCAGTTACTCCAAGCCCAGCAACTACAGGCAGGGAGAGGTTCAGTGTGACTAAGATCCCGAGAGCGTAATGAGGGAGGAGAGAAGAAAATACCGGAAACTAAAAATCCAGTTCTAAAAGGCAGAAGGGACAAGCGGGTAACAGAGGGAGAGAAAATGCCACAGAAATTCCAAGAGGGAAACATTTCTGGCCCCAGGTACTGTCCCCCACAGAGGTGGAGGTGTCTCAGCAGACACTGGAAGACAGGTCTGAGACGGGGAGAGGCCACAACACGAGCTGTTTTTTTTTTTWWAAATCTGGAGAGGGTCAGAAAGAAGAAATTCATGTGCTTCAGTAAGGGAAGGGGAGAAGCAGGAGAATAAGCACAATTTTAAAATTAAACATCCTGGAGGAAGGATTTATTGGGGGGCCGGGGTGCTTCTAGAAAGAACAGACAGAGCCACTCTCAAGAGCCAGGCTGAGGTCCCAACTTACCAGTTAACATCAGGCAAGTACTTCAACCTCTCTGGGTGCTGCTGATCCATAAATGGAAAAATAATGGGACCTACCCAAAAAATCTGGGTGTTTTTCTCCCCCCTTTAAATAATMTGATGTTTAACTGAGGTAAAATCAGAAGGTCACCAGCCCCTAAATTACTGTATGTATTTCTTTAGGAAAAGTGAAAATTTCAACTACTCAACGTTAAATTAATCATATTAACCAGAGCTTACCCTCAGGAGCCTCAAAAGAAAACAGATACAAGACACGGGCTTCTGACAAGCTAACCTTCAGGTGAACAAAGTGATACCCATTAAAACCAGAAAGAACTCAACGGTACGAGGGTGACCCAGCAAAATGTAAACTCAATTCTTTCTTTTATTTTTTTATATATATATATATACTTTTTTTAGTTGTTCATGGACCTTTATTTTATTTATTTATATGCAGTGCTGAGAAGCAAACCCAATGCCTCACACATGGTAGGCAAGTGCTCTACCACTGAGCCACAACCTCAGCCCCTGCATTCAATTCTTTAGGCTCACCGTGGTYCAAGTATTTTCCTTGGTTTCAAGTCAGATATGAAATAATTAAATGTATGAGTTATCCAGTGAGGAAGCCACTTTACGATAGTATATGTGCTCTCAACTGTCCAGAGCACATGAATAGCAGCAGAGCAGCTCAGGGGGACTCAAGAAAAGCCTCAATTGAAAGACAGAGGTCACAATAAGTCTCCAAACATAGGTGGGGGTCACCTCTCCCTGGCTTTCTTGCTTTCTCCTCAGGTCTGGTTTCTCCAATTGGTCCTTTTTTTTTTTCTTTTTTGGTACTGGGGATGGAACCCAAGGGCACTCAACCACTGAGCCACAACCCCAGTTCTTTATATTTTTTATTTTGAGACAGGGTCTCCCTAAGTTGCTTAGGGTCTCACTAAGTTGCTGAGGCTGGCTTTCAATTTGGTGATCCTCCTGCCTCAGCCTCCTGAGCCAGTGGGATTACAGGCATGGACCACCACACATGTATCTCAAAAATTGGTTCTTTCGAGGCTCCTGGTAACTGTTCTAACTTTGTCTTAGTAGCTTCCATGGCAACTTCTTCAGGTAGGAAGATGTGCTGATCTCCCCCCATCCAATGTTCCAGCTCTAAATATCAGAAGAATGTCCTTATTTTGCCACAAATTTTGTGTTTTTCTGCAACAGTGCACTGACTTGAGAGGACCTAGCTCGATTTTCCTCGGCAGCCAGGTAAACAGAGCTAGGCGCTGCTGTAGTGGCAAGTGCTGTACAATATAAGTGCATGATGGCCCAAGACAGCTGTATCATGGCCTTCTGCTAAAACAGGCACTTCCATCATTTGTCCCATCCTTCAGAAACAGTTATCAAAGACCGATCCAAATGAGAGCAGAGATGGAGGCCATTACTCTCTCAACTGGGACTGGCCCATCTGGGGACCTCGTGATCCTGCCCAACTGCTGATCATGTGGCTGCTTCCACACTCTGGCCTTCAAAGATATCTCATGTGCATATCGACTACTGAGACCTGCACCTACCACCCGCCCAGGAGCACCCTCTTGGCTTCGAGGTTTACAGCAGTGGCCTTCCTTGTCACAGCATGCCATCCTTGAGTGGACCCAGGCTGCTGAAGCCCTTCTCCTGCCAGTCTCTCGTGGATCCACAGCCAAGAGGGCCAGGTGCCAGCTCTACACTGCAGTGCCATCCATTTTCAGGGATTGCTGTGTGTACAGGTGAGTTGTCACACACTCCCTGGCAGATTCCAACTCGGAGGACTGCTGCGGCCGTAACAGCCATCCCCTGTTCTGGGGTCTGACGAGCACCCACATCAGCACCTCCAATGGCACTCTGTTCACCCTGCAGCGCCACTTCTGCTGCCCCATGGTGGCCCACTAGGCACCCTCAGCACAGTGCTCCACGCAGCAAGTTGGGCTCTTCTCCCATTTGAAGTGGAAAAAAGGGCTGAGATCATCTCTTCCCGAAGACCTCCAGGCATGGTCTTCACTGAATAAAACTATGTCCTGGGAGGGCAGCAGCCGTCCTGAAGGAACCTTGGGAGGAACTGGCTACCTACCACATGGTTTGATTAGTCTTTGCCCCTGTGCAATCATGCATTTCCCATGGGTTTGTGTTAATTAATCACATGCATAACTCACACATATGGAATTTGATGCACACACATAAATGCACGCATACACTTACTAAAGGGCTATTCTCATGCAATTTCTTTTTTATTTCTATTCTGCTCTGAAAACTACGATGCTGAGGATCGGGGCAAAGTGGTCAAGGAGGTGGGTGCCGTGGCCTCCCCTCCAGCCTGGCTCTTTGGGTCCCGAGCTGTTTCYTCCTCTCCCCACTCAGCCCAGCTGCTGGGAGCACTGTGGATCTCCCCAGCTCACAGGTGGTGGATATTGTATTGTCCTGGGAAATAGAAGAGTACTTTGAGTAAAAGGTATGCCTCCCAAGTTCAAGTGCCACTTACATGATGAGGATGTCACTGGTTCTGAAAAGTGAAAGGGCGCATACCTAGGAGTGGAATCACGAAGTGATAAGTAACTCTAATGTTCAGCCTTCTGAAGATTCACCAAACTGTGGTCCACAATGGTTGCAGTTTCTTACATTCCCACGAGCCCCTGTGAAGATCCAGCTCCTCCATACCCTCTGCAGTGCTTACTGCTGTCTGTCTGCTGGGTGCAGTGTGGTCACATGTATCCCCCACATTCAGGTTTGTTCAATGAACGTGTCAAAGGTGCTGGTTTTCACATGTGTTTCCAGTGTACAACTATAATAAGCATATGTTCGTGTCATGTCTTCTAAACCAAGTAAGCTGGATCATAAACCATTTTTATACTTTGATCAGCTTTTATTTTAGATATGTTGAAGCTGTACTGTTAGGTATATAAACTTACTGCTCTTAAATCTTAAAAAAAAATACAATGCTGAAATCAGGACAGGTCACATTAATTTTCAGTTTCTGGTAGGTCACRAGCTTCTCTGTCCTTCATCTTTTCCAAAAATGACTTGGTCGTTCACTTATTTTATTTTTTAGCAGCAATTTTGTAATCCTTTGATCATGTACCAAATAAACAYAAATCAATATGGGAAGCGTTATTTTTGTGTCAAACAAAAATACAAATGCTTTCAAAACATGACAATTGTYTGAAAGACTGTTGGAAAAAAAAATGATTCTCTAAACAACAAATTTAATATAGGGCTATTTTCCCAGAAGATTTATTTCCTCAGTGTGTTAAGAGAAAATGAAAATGTTTTGGCTCTACTCTGAGTGATGGCGTCCCCCTCAAATTCATGCTGAAATTTAATCTCCAATGCAACAGTGTTAAGAGGGGTGGTCTCTACAGGGAGGGTGACTAAGGGATGCTGCGTGATTCTGCATGGGATTAGTACCCTCACAAAACAGCTCTAGGTTGAAGGAAGCGCTCCCCTGTCCTTCTGCCTCCCAGACAGGTGAGGGCACAGTGGTCAACCCCTCTAGAGGATGTAGCAAACASCACGGCTGCTGGTACCTTGATCTTTGACTTTCCAGCTGCCCGAACTGGGAGAAATAAATTTCTGTTTATAAATTGGCCTGCCAGTGGTGTTTTGTTATAGCAGCACAAATGGACTAAGACAGTTTTTTTAACACGGTTTCATTAGTGTATGATTATGCAGCAGAAGAGCAGGGAGATAGGAACTCTTGCAGGCCTTCTAGAAAACACAGGGCCATATATTCCAAAGTCTTAACCAAGGAAGTTTTGTAGGGCTAGGGATGTAGCTCGGTCAAGCACGTGCTTAGCCATGCACAAAGCACTGGATTCAATCCCCAGCACTAGAAAAAGGAAGAAGAAAAAAAAAAGAACATTTTCTAACCTTTGACTCTTTAATTTCACTGCTAGACATCTGTCTTTTTTTTTTTAATACCTTTGTTTTGTTTATTTAGTTTTCTTTGTGGTGCTGAGGATCGAACCTAGTACCTCAGGCATGCTAGGCAAGCGCTCTGCTACTGAGCCACACCCCAGCCCTACGCATCTGTCTTTTAAAAATCAGAGACAGCAATGCAGCTCCATATTTATTTAAGAGATACTCACTGTATGTTTTACCCCCTCAAAAAAAAATAATAACCTAAATCTGCAACAATCAGAGATAAATAAAAGTTTATTCCTTTGACTGTTTATCCAGCTGCTGAAAGAAATGTATTAGTGACAACTATTCATGTAAAAAAAAAAAAAAGAAAGAAAGGAAGGAAGAAAAAAATGTTCCCTATATTAAGTAGGTAAAAACAGGATTTTAAATATTGTGTCCAGTGTGATCCAAATGCGCTATGTAAAAAAAAATCTATGATGTACATACACCAGAAACACGTATGCCAGCCAATACAGTAGTTCAGAGCACGAGCTTTGAAAACACACCGACCTGGTTCAAATCCCAGCTGTGCCACTTTCCTGCTAGTGCAACCCTGGGCAAGTAGTTAACCTCTCTGTACCTCAGAATGCTCACCTGGAAAATGGGGAAAATAGTACCTACCTTACAGAATTGAATCAACAGTAAAAGGGACAATTCATGCAAATGGCTAAGCACTATGCCTGGCACACTGAAAGCATTCAACATCCACTAGCCAAGAATGAACAGAAAGGAAAAGCACTAAAATGCTACCAAGGATTCTCTCTGGGTGGCACAATACGAGATCAATTTAGCTTTCTCTTTACGGTGGTCTTGTTTTTCTAAAATTTGTACAAGTCTACCTTATTAAGGGATCAGGGGGAAAAAATACAGTATAAAATTGGGGGCTATTGGCGATTGGTGGCCAATCGCCAATAGTCCCCACTACTAGGGAGGCTGAGGCAGGAGGATTGTAAGTTCAAGCCCAGCCTCAGCAACTAAAAGAAAACTCAGCAACTTAGCAAGTCCCTGTCTCAAAATTAAATTAAAAGGTCTGAGGATGTAGCTCAGTGGTAAAGCACGCCTGGGTTCAATCCCCAGTACAAAAAAAAAAAAAAAAGAGAGAGAGAGAGAGAGAGAGAGAACATCAGATTAAATACTAGTGTTGTCCCTGTGACAGCTGAACGCAGCCGCGGCCACCCTCCTTCACAGGGTCACTACTCACGGGTGCAGTTCCTTGGAAGCCGTCCTCGGCAGTGTTGGTCACTGGGAACTCGCCCTGCCAAATGTTGGCATAATGTTGGCCTCTCGGCTGCAGCTTGTTGCCCCAGGGGAAAAGTCTGTTGGAAGAGACACGGGCATCAGCCTGCCAAAGGGAACGGCTTCTGGGTTAAAGTCAAGGGACGAGGGAACGACACTCTTGCTCTGAGTGAGCTTTTAAAATATACATATAKAKAGAGAGAGAAGAGCTTTTAATCGGTTTTTCCTAGTTTCCTTGTAACAGCTCATGTCAAGTTACCAACAACCTCAGTCCTTCCTGAGCACTCGGAAGGCTGGAGGCCAATCCCATCACTAACAGCAGGACTTGGGAGAGCAGGGGAAGGAGGCCTCATCCTGGACTTATTTGGTAGCGTGATCAGGCAGCGCCACACCACACTTTTTTATAAAGCCGTGGCTATTTTAAGGAGCTTTTCCTAGAAGATGTGACCCAAACATGAGTTTTCTGTCTCATAGCTCTAGAAGCGAAGAAATACCACCGCTTCAGAAGATGCCTAAAATAAGAAAATGCTAGCAGCRAGGCGGCCTGCCAAGCCACTCCAGGGACTAACAAGCAGCACGTGAACCGCTGGAAGTTGCTTCAGGGCTGCAGGGAGCCCTGTTGGCCAAAACCTGGCTTTGGGGACTGCAAAAGGTCAGGGGGTCGCTCACCAGTGTCACCTAAGTAACCTCACAGGGAAGAAGAAAACCCTGGAAGAACAAGAGCTGCTTGTGTTCAACTTTCTGAGCAAAGAAAGTTCCATGGAGTTAAACAAAAAAGGTTTGGGCAACATGAGGCCATCAATACCTATTCTGCAGCCCTCCTCGACAGCTGTACTCCCACTCAGCTTCCGTGGGCAACCGCTTCCCTGCCCACGTGCAGTAGGCCACTGCGTCATTCCAGGAGACGTGGAGCACAGGATGATTTGGCCTGGGGAGGAGGGAGAGCAGAGTGAACAGAGGCTCCAACCGGAACAGGAAACAGGAACTGGCATGTCTACTCATCCTCGGTTTGGTTGGTGACCCCGTGATGAAAAACATGACCATGCACACCCCAGAGCTCCATGCACTTATTGGGCCTGCATTAGAGTTTCTGTCCCCTCCACAGGGGGATCCACAATGGATATTCTACAGGTCAACTCTAGCTCAGCCTCAGTTTCCAGAGAACCCAACCTAGGGCACCCAGCCTCAAACTCTGCATCTTTTCTATGTTTCCACAAATGACTGACTGGTCATATTTGCCTGGCTGGAGCAGATCCCAACTCGTTCTCCCTTTTCCTCAAGGGACAGAGGGAAGGGGAAGGCATCTTGGATTGAATCCCCTGCTCACTTTGTCTTTAAGTGGTCTACACATTCTGAGTTCCTTCCACATACATCTTGGAGTTTTCTACAGTAATTACACCAGGACTTTCATGTATTCTTTCAACGAATGTTTGCTGAGTAGCTATTATCTGCCAGATACTATTCCCAGCACTGATAAAAGATGCACTTTTCTCAGAAGACTGACTCAGCCAGCCATTCAGTTTACTACATGAATTTAAAAATACATCCCATGGGGAGGCAGCGCCACGGTAGAGCACGTACTTAGTATGCACGAGGCCCTGGCTTTGATCCCCAACACTGCAAAAAATAATCCTCTTTGGATTTTTCTGCCTCCCTTCTGCCTGCTTTTTTCCTCTCCCCATAAACTCAGGAAAGAAGTTACGAATAGGGAGCTCAGGGGCCAGCCCTCCTGAAAGATTTCTGACTTTTGTCGAGGGGCCTAACCCTAAAGCTGAACTCATGTCCTCCCAGCTTCCAGCAATCAGGAGAGCCACCAGGAATGCTGTGAAGATAGAGACTTGAAAATGCCACCTGAAAAATGAGGTTAGGAGAGCAGTCTGCTTGGGCCTGGAGGGACGGATCCTAACCCAAACCCTCTCCACCTCCGGGCTTCAAGTCGACTCTATTTTTGCTCGAGATAATTACTTCCTTGCCACCCTGGAGACTTGCTGACCGACTTGCTGCTCTGTGGTTTTGTAGTCAGATGGTAGCTCCAAAGTATGTCAGCCCGGGACTACAGAGCACATGGATCCCACACTCAAGGGCCACCTGGCAGGACACAAGTGCCCATCCATGAGACAGTTAGTCCTTCCTCATAAAGATGCACTCACAAGGCAGAACAAATGGACAGACTGGAAAGATTAAACATGACATGAGATCTGTAACAGGCCTGTCAAAGGGGGAAATCTGCAAGAAGATACTCTTTGACAGGCAAATGAGGAAGGAAATAGGCCATCTATTAAGAGCCTGCTGGGAGGCCGCAGTGTTCAGGTCTTCACAGACATTATTTCCCATCATCTCATTTTCCTACCAATCACTGATGGTTTGTCACTCTTGCTATAATCTTATAGCTGAAGATGGCCACTGGGTTCTTTCTYAAGAGCACAGGAATCTGTTATGGAACGAAGCGTGTCACCTGGGCCTCACCTGACTCACCTGTGCAGAACAGTAGAGTCGGGCCCCTCTGGGTGTCTCCAGTTAGCGCCTTTAACAGGTAACCACCAGGGAGCGGCTGCAACCTCGAAGCAACCCAGAAGAGGCTGATGTTAGCCACTGTGACGGTCAAACACTGCACTTGGCACCAAAGCCCCATCTGGGTTACCAAACATATACCTCTACCAAAATATCAAAAGATTGGTTTGTAAATCAGTCTTCAATGAAAGTATCAATTGATATTATAAAATGTCACAGTGGTGAAATAAGTATGTATTTAAATGATGCGTGGCTCTAAGATTATATATATCTGGCATGAACCCAGGGGCACTGTACCACTGAGCTACATGCCCAGCTTTTGTTTATTTGTTTGTTTGTTTGGGATAGGGTCTTGCTAAGTTGTGAGACTATCCTCAAACTTGTGATTCTCCTGCCTCAGCCTCCCAAGTTGTTGGGATTATAGGTGTGCGCCACAGTGCCTAGCTTCTAAGAATTTTTAAAAGATGCACTACTGGGGCTGGGGATGTGGCTCAAGCAGTAGCGTGCTCGCCTGGCATGCGCGGGGCACTGGGTTCGATCCTCAGCACCACATGAAAATAAAAATAAAGATGTTATATCCACCGAAAACTAAAACATAAATATTAAAAAATTCTCTCTCTCTCTCTCTCTCTCTCTCTCTCTCTCTCTCTCTCTCTTAAAAAAAAAATGCACTGCTGACTAATCCTCTGTGATCTCTGACAAATGGAAGACAGCCTGTACTTCTCCTTTTTAAAACATGGGGAAACAATTAACCTTACCATTAAGTGTGAGGCCAAAAGTGAACCAAGGTGGTCAGAAATCAAGTTGAATCACTGAGGAAAAATGGAGTATGTTTTTAAAAGACCTTGGTTCCATTTCTAGCCCCACATGGGCTGTGTGAGCTGGGGTAAATTCACTACTTASCTAGCCAGCCCCTGAGAGCCTCATCTGTGAAATGCTTCCCCTACCTCAGAATACGGAGGAGGCCAGATCTTGGAAAGGCTCAATAAACTGTTACTTGGATCTTTAAGGTTCTGTTCATCTTCTTAACAAAAATAATAACAGCARGGGTCCTCAGTTAGTGAGCGGTGAAGAACAAGTCTTTGAAGCCATCAAAACTAGATTTGAATCTTGGCTTTGCAGTTTACAGTGTGACCCTTGGCAACATGTTTAAGCTTGAGACAGCAACAGCACCTACATGTTGAGTTTTAGCAAAGAGGAAATACAGCACAAAGGGCTTAGGACCTCAGCTCTTAGCAGCTTAGGCTAATGACTCAAGGAGCAGTCAGTAAAGGGAACCATTCTCACATGATCTTCCCCATGACAATCAGTAACAAGGACAGGCTCAAAAGATAGTAAGTGAAGAACAGAAGTTTGCAAAGGAGTCTTCTAATATAAACKCCAGCGGTCAAGGTCATCTCCATGACAATGGTACTCTCCATCCACAGCATCCTGCTGAGCATGACTGAGTGGAAGTGACAAGGAGCTGTGTCCCTGCTACCAGCAATAGCTGTAACTGGAAGCCCCAGACTCCGTTCTCACTCATCCTTTCTCAGAGCTGGGATCTTCCAAGAAACCAAGGCCACATGAAGACCCCCTTCAAACCCCRATTCTTGAGACCAAGTCAGAAAGATTTAGACATGACACTCAGAGTAAGAGGAATGAGTTTACTGAGGGAAAGCAAAAGGGAAAGGGGACACTCTCAAGGGAGAGAGTGGGTTCTCTCAGAGAGGTACTATGTATCTCTCCTGCACACCAGGTTTATTGGTGATCCCAGAGAAGTTTCCAGACAGTCCCACCCAGATCCACCTCTTGACACAACAGGGTGACTTCAGACTTTCAAGTCCCCACTGTCATGGCAACTGTAGGTCACCTTGGCGCATGCTGACCAGTTCTAATTGGATTCTTGACTGTACATTCTTATAGATTTTATGGTTAAGAGGAACTATCCTTACGTCCCAGAGTTTCAGGATCTGGTCACAAGAGTCTCCTGGGTTCCTCCCATCAGCATTATCTTGGGCCTGCACTTCTCTTGCTGAGGAATGTAACATAGCTTGTCCACCTAGGCCAGTCAGGGCTGCAGATAAATGGCTTCTTGGAAAAMAAAGCCCATGGGCCCATTCTATAGAATTATTCTCTTCATCTCATGTTCCCACTATCCTCATCGGTCTGATCCCTAACAATGTCAACGAGCTCAGGACATGCAAGGTCTCGATCACAATGGGATGGCAAAGTCCATTTCAACACAGAAGGCATTATGTCCTCAAACAGCACTTCTGCACACGGGGTCTCACCCCAGAGAACACAGGGTAGAAAGGCAGAGTTTCTTTCTGTTTCATTTGTGGCACTGCAGAAAYTCATCTGAGACATCCTCCTTGACTGGACCACTCCATGTTCAGGTGCMAGTGACAGACAGTTTGCCACACGTCAAGGGAAGATGTGCACAGAGAGCCGCAGTCACTCCACTCTTGTGTTTCAATGCGACCTTCAGATCACTCACCCGACCCAACTCCACCCCCAGCACTAAGCACCCCACAGGAAGTTCTAGTTCTTAAGTTTAAAAAAGAAAAAAGGCTAGCATAAATAAAAATGGCAAAATACAGAAACATGTAAACCTTTGTTAAATTTGGGGTAGCTTTTCTCCTCAGACCCTTTTGTGTTTTGAAATATTTTCTCTTTAGCAATTAAAAAAAAAAAAAAAAAAAACTCACAGTTGGGTGTGGTGGCCCAAGTCTATAAGCAGAGCTACTCCAGAGGCTGAGGCAGGAGGATCGCAAGTTCTAGGCCAGCCCTCGCAACTTAGTGAAACCCTGTCTTAAACTAAAAAGGTTTTTTTTAAAGGGCTGAGATTATAGTTGCAGTGATAGAATACCCGTCTGGGTTCAATCCCCAGTACACAGAAGAGAAAAAAAAAAAAATCTCAATGGTTTATCTTTCCTACTACTAATGGGTACTTGGGCATTTCCAGTTTGGAGCTATTTTGAATTGTGCTGCTTCTGTGAATATTCTTCAAAGAGTCTGTGACCTTTAATAAACATGGGCATGCCTTTCCATGCTCTGTACACTGTGGAGAGCAATTCTGAATCGTGACACCCACACCCAGCTTCAGCAGAGACAAACACAAGCCTATCAGGCAGAAGCACCCCCCCAGGATTTCAGGACCTTTTTAAAAGGGGAGCTCCCTGGGTGGCTTACCAACAGAAGGCCTGGGCGTATGCTCCAGAGGCCAGTCAGGCCATTCTTATCTTTTTCCCCTAATTCAAACTGGTTACAAATACTTATTGAGTGCTACTGTATGCCAGTCCCAGAGCCTAATCCCTGAAGGGGATCTCAAAATCCCAGAAAACCCCAGAGTACCACTCAGGACAGTTGGCACAGTCACAATTTTTACAATTATTTGTTTTACATAAAATAATTAATTCTGTGATTGCAAAAAGTGGAATACAAGTGTGACCCTAGTCATCTCTTTTTCCTTCAAAAACATGTCCAAGATTCAAATCGGTGGGTCTCTCTCACCTCTCTCTCATTCTAGACGTCTGCTTTCCATTGCAGAAAAAGAATATTTCTTTTCTGAAATTTATCACATTACTCTAGCAACCCATCTGAAACAAACTGTTAGCTTGCAAGTCACAGAGTCATAGAGCCATGAGATCCTTGGAAATCTCAGTGATGTGCACAGAGAAACAGGGCACAGCCTGGCTCGGGCCTGGGGAAGCCAGGACACCACTGTGCCTGACCAAGTATCAAAACCTAGTTCTTTGGTTCAAAACACTGAGATCTGAAGCAAGTATGCAGAGACATGTGCAAGCATATGACACTGTTCTAAACAAAAATTACAAAATAACCCAACTGTCCCTGGTGTTCATCCATACCAAACATACTGCGCAGCTAGTCACCCAAGAATGCTCTGACATGGGAACACACATGTTGTGTATTAAAGGTGACATGTACCATACATACTGATTCTGTTTCTACAAATACATACATAAAATGATACTGGCATGACCAGAAGAAAAAGATTCTAGAAGAATATACATGCATTTTTCAGGGGTGAAGGACTGGGAGAGGAATACTTTTTAGGAATGAACATGCAACACCAAAAGGTTTTCTCAACCTTGGCATTTACCAACTTTGTTTGTTTGTTTGTTTGTTTGTTTTTCAGGTACTGGGGACTGAACCCAGTGGTGTTCCACCACTGAGCGACATCCCCAGCCCCATTTTTATTTCATTTTGAGACAGGGTAGCCCCCTGTCTGAATCACCCTGGTTGACCTTGACCTTGTGATACTCCTGCTTCAACCTTCACTAGGGTTACAGGCATCCATAGTGCTACAGGCCATGATGGCACACATTTTAGGCCACATACTCCCTTGGTGCAGAGGGGTGCCTGTGCACTCTAGGAAGGTCAGCGGCATCTCTGACCTCCACCCACTAGATACCAGTTGTAGCACAAAACTGCAGAACACACAAAAAAATATCTCCACTGTTGCCAGATGTTCCCTGAAAGGAGCAAATCACCAGCTGGACCAATAATCAGGGGAAGAGATTACTCTTCTTAAGTGTTAACATATAGTTCATAGTAACAGAGGGTCAAAGCATCTTACCCAGAGTCAGCTGCCTGGGGTTTAAGCACAGTAGTTCATTTACAAGACACAGGCTCCTCTGGCTCTTTGCCCTCTCCAGGCCCCAGCTCATTCATCTGTGAAACAGATGTAAAAAATACTACCATCTACTTCCTAGGCTCGCTGTGAGGACTAAATAAGGAAACCTATGTAAAGCACTCGGGCAGGTAAAGAGGAAGAATCGCAGCAGTGTCAGCGTCATTATGGGTATTTTTCGTTTACATTACTACAGGGTGCAACATTCTTTTGGAGCTTTCAATGAACAAGATCCTAACTAGTCAAAAGCCTACCCCAGTAGTTCTTCAGCGAGGCTCACCCACCCACCACTTCACCCTTTCAGAATACTGACAGGCTAAGAAAAGTACCAGAGAAGAGGAGGTGGTCAAGGACACGCTGAAGAACTCTAGGGAAGAGTATGGAGTGGTGTCTTCCACCGAACCCACGATG